CGATTTCTCAAGGATCTAGAAATAGAAATTCCATTTGACCCAGCAATCCCATTTCTGGGTATATACCCAAGGATTATAAAGCATTCTATTATAAAGACACATGCACACATATTTTTGTTGTGGCACTGTTCACAATAGCAAAGACTTGGAACCAACCCAAATGCCCATCAATGATAGACTGGATAAAGAATATGCAGAACATATACACCATGGAATACCATACTATACTATGGTGTATGGTATTCCATGGTGTATATGTAATACCATAGTATGGTATTCCATAGTATGCATACAGCCATAAAAAGGGATGAGTTCATGCCCTTTGCAGGGACATGGATGAAGCTGGAAACCATCATTCTCAGCAAACTGACACAAGAACAGAAAACCAAACACCACATGTTCTCACTCATAAGTGGGTGTTGAACAATGAGAACACAAGGACACAGGAAGGGGAACATCACACACACCAGAGCCTGTCATGGGGTAGAGGGCTAGGAGAGGGACAGCAGGGGTTGGGGGACTAGGGGAGGGATAGTATTAGGAGAAATACCTAATGTAGATGACGGGGTGATGGATGCAGCAAACCACCATGGCACATGTATACCTATATAACGAACCTGCATGTTCTGCACGTGTACCCCAGAACTTAAAGTATAATAATAATGAAATAAATTTAAAAAGAAATTCCAAGGCCAGGTGCAGTGGCTCACACCTGTAATCCCAGCACTTTTGAAGGCTGAGGCAGACAGATCACTTGAGGTCAGGAGTTTGAGACCAACCCGGCCAACATGGTGAAATCCTGTCTCTACTAAAAATTTAAAAATTAGCCAGGCATGGTGGCAGGCACCTGTAATCCCATCTACTTGGGAGGCTGAGGCAGAAGAATCTCTTGAACCTGGGAGGCAGAGATTGCAGAGCTGAGATTGTGCCATTGCATTCAAGCCTGGGTGAACCTCAAAACAAACAAAAACATTTAATTATATTTAGAAGGCACTCTGATCCCCTTTGAATGCCTAAATTCTGCTGTTAAAGCAATAGAAACATTTTTCATATCTCCTTTTTTGTTTCTCCTATATTGAAAGTCAAGACTGAAAAACACCTTAGCACTTTATCCAAATTTTACAGATCCATGGAGGCTCAGAGAAGGCAAGCTACTTTCTCCATATCACACAGCGACCCAGTGGCAGAACCAAGACCCCAACCCAGGCTATAGTAGGTTGTAGTATTGTTCAGAATATTTGCTGCCCCTCCAAAGAGGAAGCTTACACAACTCCTACAGGAATAAGCTTGGTCCTTGTGCCTTGGGGTGGCCCTCCCTGTGGAGTAGGGCATATATCACCACCACTACCCACACTGTAAAACCCAGGCGTGGCCAGGCGATTTGTTTTGCTCATGAAATGTGGGTGAAAGCAGCATGGATCACTTCTGTTTGCCATGTCCGACTACCCTCTACCACAAAATGTGATGTTCCTGGCAGAGACTGCTCTGTTCTGCTGGGTCATAGAGTGAAAAGGATAAGCACACCTGTGATGGACGTATCACACGAGCAAGAAATAAGCCAGTGAGGTCTGGGGGCTTTTGTTACTGCAGCATAACTGAGTCCACCCTGACCAATCCTCAGGCTTTACAACCCAGGCACTGCTCTTTCTCACTGGGATGGCCTTTCCGGCAGTGTTGCATGGAATTTAACAGCACATATTTTATTTTTATTTTATTTATTTCTGTCATGATAGGGTCTCACTGTGCTGCCCAGGCTGGTCTCATACTCCTGGAGGAGCACACTTTTTAGAGTCAAGCTGCCTGGATTTAAATCTCACGAGTGGCTGACCTTGGTCAAGTTACTTTTCTCAATGCCTCAGCTTCCTCATCAGTAAAGACAAGGATAACACTCTTACTGTGTCGGTCTATTCAGATTGATGTAACAAAATATCTCAGAAATTTATTGCTCACAGTTTTGGAGGCTGGGAAGTCCATGGTCAAGGTGTAATATTGGGGTTCAGGGATTCAGGGCGCCCTCAGCTCCCCTGAGAGAACATTTCTCCAGGTTCTTGGTCTCCTGCCCTCTCAAGAATGAGAGAGGGAACCACAGTGCAGTGCACAGTAAATGCCGGACTCAAAAGTGTTTATAGAAAGTGATTTATTTAGAGAGAGAGAGAAACAGGAGGAGAGAGAAAGAAACAGCTAACTCTCACACTGAGTGAGAGAATCTAGAAAGATGGAATCCAGGAGAGGAAAGCAGCTTCCACACTGAGTGGAAGGGAATAGAGAGAGATGGAGTTTAGGAGGGGAAGACATGCTTCCATGAAGGGAGTGTTCGTGGAAGGGGATCCAAACATGGAGTCCGAAGGGGTGTGGAAGAAGGGGACTTTTAACCTGGGAGGAGCTCCCACTTTCTCTAAGACCCCAGGCCAATGAAAGGAGCTCCTTAGAACTTCCGCTGGAGTGATTTGACTCTTAGTTTCTTCCTGCTCCCACGAAATTCAAACATAAACCGTTAAATCTCCCAGATGGAGAGAGATGGGAGGGGTCATGGCGCTAGGAAGTTCTTGCACTTAAAACTATGCCCCTTTGTGGACCTGGAAAGAGAACACATTCCCTCAAAGGTGCCAACGATTTGGTGTTTGTTGGGTGAGAGCCCAATCCCCGTAGATGATGCCTCCTATGTCTCCTCACATGGAGGAAGGGGTGAGCTTCCCAGATCTCTTTTATGACAGCAATCCTATTCATGAGGACTCCACCCTCATCACTTAATTAATCACCTCCTAAAGGCCCTACCACAATATTATCACATTGAGGATTATGTTTCCACATGTGGATTTCAGGGGGACACAAATGTTCAGATCATAGCAGGTACCTACCCCACAGGGACATGGTGAGGATTTAATGACCTAAGTCTTTGCTTCAAGGAATTTGGCTAAAGGGCTACTGTTATTCCACATAGTCTTCCCTTAGGTGACATGCCAGTGACAGCAAGGGGTTGGGGTGGGAGAGGGGTTTGCTGAGATGGTGTCATGTCTTGTACATGCAAACAGCCAAACCCTCAGAAGTTACTCTCCCCCATGGGTGATGCTGATGACCATCACTGTCCCTACAACAGGCCAAGGGGAAAGGACATGAGGGGCTCTGTTGTGAAGGGGTTGGGAGCAGGGCCCATGGAGTCAGATTGGTTAGGGTTCAAGCCCTATCTCTGTCTACTCTTTCCTGGGCATCTGTAGATAAGTCACAAACCTCAGTGAGCCTCCATTCCCGTCTTACAGGGTGAGGTGAGGATTCGGTGAAATAATTCATGGAAAAAAAATGCTTGTCACAGGGCCTGGCACACTGCAAGTTCTCAGTAGTCATCAGGATCAATGATGCCAGAGTAAACCAAAGCAGGTGTGGGCAGAACAGGAGTCATGGGAGGTGATTTGTCTCTCAAGGCATCCGAGGGAGCAGCAGGGATCACTGTAGCCTATCCCCTGTCCTCATGGAAACATCACCTCTTGAAATCACAGACTGATTGTCTGGGGCTGGTGTCGAGTTGGTAGAAAATAAAGCATCTCTCCCTGACAACTGGTATGGATTGCACAACTGGTATGGATTCCCACAGCCAGCACAGACTGTCAAGTCTGCTTGCCACATTAGGGAAGTTATTGGATGTCCATAAAGGTCATGCCTACACCCAGCTGGGAGCAGCTGCTCAGGACCCTGTGGATGTGGGTTTAAATGATCTTAGATCAGAGTCACATACCATGGGGGAAAGCTGAGATCAAGCAAAGATACACTGTGTCCCTTCACAGAGAGATCCACACTTGGCCTGGGGCTGCCCACAGAAGGAGTCCCCAGGCTCACATCGTTCTCAGCCATGTGTCTTAGTTCACCCTCTGGGCCAGGGCTTTCACACACTTGGCAGCCTGTAAGCTCTACCTGAGGTCAGGTGTGCTCGCTTCCCCACTGGTTGGGTAGGCCCCTACCCAGGCCTGGCTAGAGGAGGACTGGAGAAGAATCAGCTGGAGATGAACCTCACATGTTCACCTTGAATTGCTGGCTGTGGGCTTGTTGGCCAGAAGTCCAGATTAAGCTCTTAACCAGCACGCACACCTGGCGGTGGAGGGGGGGGGGGCTGTCTGCCAGGGTCCACGGCTGTGTTTGAGGGAGTTCATTAGAGGCTGTCATTCACAGCTGCCACAAGTGTTTCCTGAGTGCTCCCAGGTGCCAGGCACTGCTTCCTCCACATCTGGGGGAGCAAGTACGTGAACAACACTCAGAAAGGGAGTGGGGTGGACAGCGTCATCTGGAAGCTCTGCTGACCACACTGCCCTGAGCTGTATTTAGAGCTTAGCCTGGGGCCTCAAAAGCAGGCCCAGGGAACTGCATGGGGCCTTCATTCCTGATGAATGAGAAACAGCCAGAACTGCCGGCATGCCCCTTGGTGACTGCTGCACAAGAGCTTGCCAGATAGTCTATACTTTTTTCTCAAATGTCATCATGAATTAGCAGCGCTCACTCCTGGGGCTGCTAGGAATACATCTTTACTGCTTCCATCAGAACCAGCCTTGAGGTTAGAGAAAAAGCCTTTTATTTGGTAAGCAACTGTGAGGATTCATTACTGAGTTAAGGGAGAAGGCAACGAGGGCCTAGGAGAGGAAATAGTACCGAAATCAGAATATCTTCAGTGAAATCATTGCAAGGCAACACTTCAGGGTAATTTCCTACTGCGTTTCAATGACCAATAAAGAAGATATAAAAATGTCATTTATAGAGAAACTCCAGCATTTTGTTTTCCTGGTTATTCTAATAGATCAATTGAAACATATAATATGATTAACAATTTTTTTTTTTTTGGCCAAACATTGTAATCAGTCTTTCACACCACAGATCTGTGTAGTCAGCTGCTTGTCACCCAGTCAAGATGGAAGCGAGTGGGGTTAAACAGGAAGAAAATTCTGCTCTTTTTCCTTCTGATAATAGCCAAAAAAAAACTTACAAACTCCATCTTAAGTCATTTTCCCATTCTGTTTATTGTGACTGGCTTCTAATTGCAAGTTACAATATGTTCATTCTCAGGCACTGGGGTGGTTTTGGTGAAAACACATGAGGGACCCTTGGGGCTTAGGGAGGTTAAGGGTAGTTTGTTAATTCATTAGTTTGTCTGCCTCGGTTCACCACCCAAAACCAACCCCAAGCCCACCAAGTTGGGTGAGGCGGCACGGACCGAGTAGGGCAGTGGGGACAACTTTGGCTCCAGCTCACTCTGTGGGTGGGAGGGGCTGGAGACAAGGGCTGCAGAGGGAACAGCTGCTCCTCCTGAAGACCCCTCCTACTCATCTCACAGCCTCTTCCTCCTCTAGAATCTGCCTCCAGGACCCCTGCAATATCTTCTGCTGCTAGTAACATCGCAAATGCAGAATCTGGCTTCTCTGTAAGGATTTTAGGCTTGTCAAACTCAATCACCTAATAGTAAGAGAAGAACTGAAATCGTCAGAAAATATCTGCCCACTGTAAAGCTCAAACCACTGAACTTTCTGGGGAGGCGAAGCCAAAAGGGCTTCCTGTACCTTCCCATTTTCCAGGATGTGATCGCAGTTGAGAACCGAGTTGAGGCAGTGGGTAATTAGCTAAACCAAAAAAAAAAGTAATTAGCTAAACATCCATCTCAAAAAAATGAGAAAATGAAGAGTGAAATAAAAGTCACATCACATCACTTCCATCTTCCCAGAGGAACTTGCTAGAGGGAAAATGTATATCCTCTACTCCTCTTTTTAAGTAGTTTATTCTAACCCTGCAAACTGTAGGGAGACACTGCATGGGCTTTATCAACTGTGCTAACCTGAGTTGGCTTGAAGTACATCAGCACTTACATTCATTCCCTGCCATACCAAATGATCACAAACTTAGAGACGCAACCTAAATTTATCTTCTAGTTCCAGAAGTCAGAAATCCTCATATCAAGGTATTGTCAGGGCTGCATTCTTTCTATTTCCTTGCCCTCTCCAAATTCTGGGCCACTTGCATTCCTTGGCCCATAGCCCCTCCTGGGATCACAGCTCCTTCTCCATCTTTGACTCTTCTGCTTCCTCCTGGGAAAGACCCATGGGAATATGCTAGGTCCACGCAGATCTAGAATCATCTCCCGATCTCATGATCCTGTCTCGTGATAGTAAGTTAATATATTAAAAGGCTCGGAGGAACATATTCACAGGTTCCAAAAATCAGGACATTAACATCTTTGGGGCAGATTTGATTTAGCAAATCAGAGCATTTGAACTTAACCCTGCCTCTGCTTGACCAGCTAAGTTACTTAACTTCCCCAAGGCTCTGCTCCCTCGGAGGCGAAAGGGGGCTATGCCTTATTAATTAGCTGGAAATGGAGACAACACTTTAACCACTTAGCAGTGTGCAGTGCCATAGCAGGCACTGGATCCATGCCAGTCACTCTCCCCTGACATTAGCACATCTAGAGAATACACACAATGAGTCACACCTTTGATGAGGCTTCAGAGAATTGAATTACTAGAGCAACAGCAATCCCTTCCCTGAAATCAGTAAGTGAAGTGGCTAAGTCACAAAGAAAAATACGTGTAAATTCTACAGCTCCCGTATCCTAGCATTCTGATGGCCTCTTGAGCATCCTGTGGACAGTGTATCCACATTCAGTATTGTTCAGAGACAATGAGAGAAAGTTAAGAGACAGATTTTTCAAACTCAAACCACTTAGGCAAGCAGAGTGAAAACCTAAGCGAGACCTCCCCAGGGGAAGCCTGGGAGAGGAAGGCGCTCTTGCTGTAAATGGTTGTTACTTTTCAATTTTTACCTCTCACAACTTGTCTTAAGAAAAAGTGATCGGTTTTTAAATGGCTCAATTGCTCTCCCTTTGCTGAAAGGCAAACACATGGCACTACTTCCTGGATTGAGTGGCGCTGCAGGAAATACCCAAAATTTGACCAATCCATTTCCCGTGTTTTCTCACCTTGGAATTATGAAGAAGAGCTCAGGCCACGCAAAGCAGCCAACATTCCCCTACTGAGAAGTTTTCTCCATTTTCTGCGACTTCTGCCTATCATTTTTCTGGGAGTTTCATTATCTACAAAACACAGAAAATGCCACATTTGTACTGATGATCTATAAAATTGTCCTGCGCTACCTGTATTGATTGCCCCCTTCTCTTGCATTCATCTGCTTGCTTTATTTTACTGTGGCAAAGAAAGTGCGAAACAACAATCATTTCAATATTGCAAACAGGCACCGGGGAAAGACCAGGGAGTAGGCAGACATTAATGATTTAGAATCACAGTATGACTCATAGAACCCCGTAGACAATTCACCAGAAGAACAAATGATGCACATGCAGTTCCAGGGAGCACAAAAACAAGTGGAAATGACTTCCGGGATTGCTGTTTCCATGGATAAAATAGAGATGGGATGGAAAGTTTTCTGGACATTAAGGAAGGGTAAGATGGGGTCTGACTTATCCAGAGCGACAAGCCAAAGTGGCCTTGGAAGATACCCACATTGGTACCAAGTCCTGGAAAAATATCCCTTTGGGCTGCAGAGGTGGCCATGTTCACCTGCTGACCCCAGCTGGGGCTACGCCTTTCCTAGGACAGGGTCCCTTCTCACAGGTGGTTCAGTCCTCTCCAACCAGCCATACTTGCCATTCCCAGAATACTTCACATCCTCCTGTTTTCTGTGGCTTGTCTGCTCTGATAAGCAAAGGAGGCCATGGCAAAAGAGCAGGGCCTTCCATCTGCTCTAGAATCAGACAGGCTTGAGTTCAAGTCTCCATCCTGCTGCTCAGTAGCCTGGGCATGTTACTTCTCTGAGCTTTAATTTCTTCATCTCTAAAATTAGGGGTGAGAGTGAGTACCAACCTCAGAGCACTGTAGAAGGATTAAGTGAGATAATACGTGTAGCCCTCTTGACTGTATCATTGTAGAGCCCTATTGTTGCTTTTAATAGGAAAGAGTAACTAAGGATTATGTTCTGCTGACTTCTATGGTATTCACACATAAACCCAGCCAAGTGCTGGCCTCGGTGCTTATCAAATTTAAACCTAGGCCAGGAATCTAGGGCAGTGGTGCTGGGAGACAAACTCCTCCTCAACAGCCCAGAGACCTGCTGTGTCTCTCATGAACAATCTCTCCAGAACCTGCCAGAGCATCTCGGTGTGAATCTCAAAGGGATCCAAGTTGGACCTGCAATGAAGGAGAGGAGGAGAGGGAGCCAGATTTCCAAGGACGAGAGGATGGGTGGGGAGCAGGTTTTCTGCAGCACGTGGAGGAGGGTAGGAGGTGGCATGTGATAACTGGTGCTCTAAGAATAGTGCTCAGTCCAGCACAATAGTCCATAAAATACGGACCTCAGGCCACAAGACCAGGGGCCCACAACTCTGCAATAGAGCAGGGACCACGAAGGCAGGCAACGACAGGTGGAACCCTGCTGAAAGGCAGCACTGAGCAATGTGCTCAGAAAGACAAACCTGGGCCTCTCAGCAGCCCTGAGTAGCAGAGTGGGTTTGAACTGATATCAATTCTTGGCAGAGAGAGAGGGAGAGTTAGCAACCCAAATCTGCCACTCCATGCATCGGCAACTCCCAGGGCCTCACCGGGTGCTGAGCAGCTCAAATGTAGAATGTAAATCTACTGTTTCAAGAGGCAGAATGCATTTTTCAAACAATGAGCTCTAAATACAGTAAATACAGTTCTCCTACTTCATCTGATGCTCTATGGGAGAAACGTTCCTCTCATTACCCCCCACTGCACTGGCTAACAGAAAAACTGGCTTTCCCCTTGTACCTTGATATCAGATCTGGAGCCCCACAGAAGTTGCAGCCCTACTGTTCTTGTGCTTGAAATAGCTTCTGTTCACTTAGTTGTGGAAATAAATGAATGCACTTCACAATGGATAGTCATATACATGGGGTAACTATTTATTTTATTGTGCAAACTGGGACACTTTTCAGAGTGCCCATTGCTAAACCTGATGGGATGCTGGGACACAGGCATAAACTCGGTCTGTCCAGAGCCACCGGGACATCTGCCCAGTGTATGAATGAGTATAGAAGCATCTTGTTCATTAATAATGTGTTTATAAAACACAAGCAATGCTCAGAGCCCTGGCCCTGACTCCTCCCAAGGGTGGATGCAGAAACAGGAACCAGCAGTGCTTGTGAGCCCTCTGGGATGCTGCTTCCCTCAGATAGAACAGCTCCAGGTCAGGCATGCCCTGGGGACATTGCAAAGTTCTTAGTCTGATTTCACTCTCCAAATATAGGAATGCACAATGATCAAAAACAGCTACCTTGCAGTGCCTAAAAACACGACAGAATCCTGTGGGATCACAGTCAGCTTGGTTCTGAGGTCCTCCACGCTGACAGTACAGATATCCACCACATCAATGAAGATTGTGCCACTGGCTGGCTCCACCAGATGAAATAAGGCCATTCCTAACGATGACTTCCCTGGGAACCATAAAAGCAAGAACAACAAATCAAACATTAGTTTGTGCTTCCATCATATCCAAGCATTAATTAGTGGGATTTTTAATGCGATGCAAATGGCTCCATAAGGATGATGGTGTAGACAGAAAGTGTCCTCACCAGGGTGGGGATGGAGGGATGGGCTGCCCCGACAGTTAACCTGCCCATCCTTGCAGGGGCCCTTAGCACACAACTCATCTCTAGGGCCCTGTTGTACTAGAATGATTGTCATTTAATTAATTCAAAAACTGATGTGTTTGCTTCCATCTCTACACACCCGTTCAACCTGAAATTCTAATTTACAGTAAAGAGATTTCAGGGAAATAACAGCCAATCTGATACACATACACATCACTCTCTGGTGTGGCTTAACTAGGACATCCACTGGAAATCCAAAGAAAACAACCTGAAAGAAATAAAAGCAGAGCTTGTCCTCACTGGAACCTGTTCTTCCAACAATCCCGACTGTCTGCCCACTTTGTATGTTCAAGTTCAGGCTGTCAAGAACAAGCAGGTGCTGTCTCTGCATCTCATCTGATAGTCTTTATATATAATCTCCCCTCCATGGGCCAGTCCTTGGAACAGGTCTCCACTTTGAGGGGATAAGTGCATTCAGGAACACAGGTCTGAAAAGGAGAATAACCAGTGGCCAGTGAAGAGCCTTTTAAAAATTCATTTATTTAACTAATTCATTTGTTGATTCACAAGATTTCAGGTACTATTATTTGTGGTGATGAAATAGACCAATAATGGTCCTTAATAAAGGAACTCACATTCCACTGGGGATGTCAGATAATAAACAAGTAAAAAAATTAAAAATAAAGACAATAAAACAGAGTATTGCAGTAGGATACAGAATGTCATTTATGTGCTGGGCAAGGGGTAAAAGTAGAGTAAAAGTACTCGATGTTTGAAGAAGGGACCCATGTGACATTGGACCTGAGGACTGGAGGACACTGGATCCTGGGAGGATGCCACCTACGAGAGGATGAAGTCCAGAGCCCTCCAGGTTGGGGGTACAGGTAGTGCAAAGGCCCTGGGGCCAGAATGAGCTTGTGTCATTTGAGGAATGGAAAGAAAAGTCATGTGGCTAGAGGTTAGCGAATGGAGGGATGGATGACTTAGAGGAATACAGAAGGGAGAGCTCATACTGGGCCTATGGGCCTAGGAAAATGTCAGAAGTGTAGCTTTGAAGCTATATGACAAGGCCAGACAGAGCCTTGAGATTTGCAGAACTCAACCAGATATAATTTCAAGATCTGCCAGAATCATCAGCGTGCTAGAAGTAGAAAGGTGGTAAGAATGCAAGATGTTAAGTTCAGAGGTCTTTAGAGATACATGAAAAAATATTTGTCTCGTAAAAGTCCAAGAAATGACAGGTCTAATTAAGGAGTAGCACAGCTTGGCTTCATTATAAGACCAGCCTCTCCTCTTACGTCCATGTAAACAGCTGGAAATAGGGATCCCGTGTGCCCCATCAGGGTGGCTCACCAGCCTGAATCTCTACTCAAGAAGTAACCTCGTTTAACTGAGAAAATAATTGCATTGTTAAGAACTGAGTATTTTGAACCCCTAGAAGTTTTAGAAATAAGAATAAAAATATTTAAGAAAAATGAAACTGTAACAGTAATATTTTTCGTTTAAGAAATCTGCAGGCTTGGTATTTCAAGTATTCTCAATATTAATAGAATTTGGGGTTGTGATTCTAATTTAAAGTGTATAATTGAATAATTGATTTAAACATTATTTTAAGTTAAAGGTTTATGTTTATCGCATTGGTACTGTCATGGGAACTTAAAGCTTACTATATTTATATGTTTAATTTATTAGATTCATACAAATTCAGGAAGGTTTGTTGTTAAATCAGATCATTGAGGTACTTAAAAAAGAAATCGAATGTATTAAATTTTAAAATGCAGTTTAAAATGTTTTAAAGTGTTTAAATAAGTTTGTAAATGGAGCAAAACACTCTTCAAAGGCACCTAAATGTCACTGCTAGAACTGGCTAGACTTTCAAAGAATGGCAAGACTTGAAGGTTGGATATCAAAGCTTTTAAAGAAGAATTAGACTGGGCTTCTGTTTTTTCAACTTATGACTTTAATCAAATAATGATTTTTAACATAAAAAGCATTTAGAGTCAGGATCTAGGTCTGTTGCACAAGCTGGAGCAAATGGCATCATCATAGCTTACTGCAGCCTCCAACTCCTGGGCTCAAGTGATCCTCCCTCCCTCCTTAGCCTCCTGAGTAGCTAGGACTATAGGTGCACGCCACCACACATGGAAAATTTTAACTTCTTTTTTTTTTTTTGTAGAGACAGGGTCTCGCTATACTGCACAGGCTGGTCTCAAACTCCTGGCTTCAAGCAATCCTCCCACCTTGGTCTCCAAAACTGTTGAGATTATAGGTGTGAGCCACTGCATCTGGCCAAATATTGATTTTTAGAAACCAAAGTAGAGGGTCCTAAAAAGCCTCCGAGTCCTTACAGTCACTCCAGTCTGTTCAGTCCCAGGTGCACCCACTTATCAGGGGAACTCAACCCACTCCAGTGGACCTCACTGACCAGCTGGTACACCCCTTCCAGCCAGGGGACAAGGTCCTGGTAAAGAGATTCACCGCCTCTGGCCTAACTCCTCGCTGGAAAGGACCCTACACCGTAATCCTTGTCACCCCCACTGCAATCAAGGTGAACGGACTGACTGCCTGGATTCACCACTCACATGTCAAGACTGCCCCCACCGAATGCGCAATGGAAGGTGGCTGCGTCTTCAACAGACCCCCAAAAGCTAAGACTCTCGCACTCTTCGTGGTTATCATCCTTGTCCCCCTGATTCCTGTGGTAGCCCCTTGAAGGGGGCCCCCCTTGACGCCCACCTACTACCGGTGGGTCCTTACAGAGGACTCCACTGGGGAATACATTAGTTCTGTAACTGGAAAGGGATCCATCCTTGTCAACTTAACCCTAGAGCTAGAGTACATTCCCAGAGATCTCATAACCTTCTCCCTAGACCTCTACACTCTCTTAAGCGAGAGCCTAGATGTAAATACTATAGGACAAATGAAGACAAGAAGATGGGGGCAGGGAAATGCAGTGAAAGCAAAGGAGATGCGGTGTGGGAACGTAGAGGCCGAAAAACAGCTTCAGACTATGGGGCTATATCTATGCCCAGGGTCTACCCCACAAAGGAAATGAAATTGTGGAAACTTAGAGGAGTTCTTCTGCCTCCAGTGGGGCTGTGAGGCTATCTCCACTAAAACAGTATATACTGCAAACAGGGACTCTTTCATTTCTTTCACCTGAGACTCTCCCCCAAACCCATGCTACACTGGTTCTTTTAACCCACTCAAAATAACAGTCCTGTATCCAGATAGGAGATGTGCAACAGGGCGAACCTGGGGTCTCCGAGTATATATGAGTGGGTGGGACAAGGGAAACATCTTTACCATCTAGTGTATACAAAATAGGAGAGGATTAGACCTGTTGTTCTTAAAGGAAGGAGGGCTGTGGTCCCACTCAGCCAACAATGTTGCTTCTACACAAACAATTCCAGGCTCATTAGAGACAGCCTTGCGTGGTTAGACTGAACTTAAAAACAAACAAACAAAAAAACACCTCAGAGAGGCCTCAGGAAATTGGTACCAAAAACTGTTCTCTTGGTCCCCCTGGCTAACATCCCTACTCACTTGATTAGCAGGACCCTTGGTCCTAATGGTCCTAGGGCTAATATTTAGATCATGCCTTTTAAATATGCTCCTCAAATTTATCCGAGAAAGAATAGATTCAGTGAAGTTAATGGTTCCGAGATCAACTATGGGCCCCTGTGCCAAGAAGAGGAAAGCAATTAAAGATTTAATACATGTTGAAAGAACAGGGGGGAATGTTCTATAGCAGGCCTAGAGTTAGAGCTTGAACAACGCCAGTTTATACAAGACAAAGCTATTTTTCAGAAATAAGTTGTAACAGCTGCCCCATTCTCCTCACAGTAATTGCTGGCCTTGGCTTCTGTAAATAAAACTGCTAGCTTGCTCTGCAAAATGCCCACTATGTAAAGCTGCTTACCTTTTCTTATCAGTAACTGCCAGAATTGCTGGCCTTTGCTTACCGGTAATGACCAGAATAAGCAGCCCAGGCTAATTCCATCCTGGCCCCTGTGACTTGTAATAAGTAACTAAGATCTGTGGATTCCACCACTGCCCAGACAATGTGTACACTAACGCTTATCTTGACTTCTGTAAACCACTTAGGTAACGATCGAAGTGACAAGTCCCCTAGCCCTCAGAATGTCTGGAGACCCACACCCTCTTCTCTGCCTGGGAGGTGATTTACGGAATCCCCTGGCCCTCAGAATGTCTGAACCCCTTCACCCCCACCCCTGCCCCACACCCTCACCCCAGAGGTGGTTTATGGGCATAAAAAGGTCTTGTCACCCTCCTTTCGGGGCCATGGGTTGGAGAGACGTGAGTCCTCCCTGGTCGCCGGCAATAAAGACCCTGCAATTTGGCATTAAAAAAAAAAAAAAGAAAAAGAAACCAAAGTAAACCACTGAGTTGTATGTTTCTGTGTATCAAAACAGCCCTGAAGAAAATCTTGTTAAAAAGAACCTCACATTCAACATGAAGGACTTTAGAATGTAATATAAATAGAGGTTTTAAGAAGGGGGATGACTCATCTGCTTTTGGGTTTTGTTTTTGTTTTTTGAGATGGAGTTTTACTCTTGTTGTCCAGGCTGGAGTGCAGTGGTGCCATCTTGGCTCACTGCAACCTCCATCAGGGTTCCACTGATTCTCCTGCCTCAGCCTGCAGAATAGCTGGGATTACCAGAGTTTGCCACCATGCCTGGCTAATTTTTGTATTTTTAGTAGAGACAGGGTTTCACCATATTGGCCAGGCTGTTCTCAAACTCTTGACTTCAGGTGATCTGCCTGCACCAGCCTCCCAAAGTGCTGGGATTACAGGCACGATCCACCATGCCTGTCCCGATTTTTTTTTTTTAAGACCCCTTTCACATCTAAAAAGATCCAATATTTTCCCAAGTCCTGCCAAAATTAACTTGTCCCTTCTCTGTGATGCATTAATTTCTTACCGAAATGTATTCCCTGATCAGCTCCACAGAGGTGAATTTGTCTAGGGTCTGTGTTCCTATTTGCACGCACACTTGGAGCAGTCCATTCAGCTGTTGAGAAGGAGTGAGCACTGCAGTTAGAGCTCCTTCCTCCTTCAGGTTCCGCTGCTCCCCATTCAGGAGGCAGCCATGGTGAATGACCCCTCCCCTGCCTCACACAGGACGGGTACATACAGGAGGCCTGCCTTCCTAGCCAAGCATCCAGAAGTAGAGCTATTCCTGTTGGGGTGTTTTGCCTTTAGACACTCCCTTTGTATTTAGAAACAAATGGTAATTACATTTTTCCCTGACACTCCAGATGGTGAAAATCATCTCCCCACAGAATCACTTGATCACACACCTCTTTGAGTGGTGGGAATTCTCCCTGGAAGCTGCAGAGCTGCTTGGTATTGGTCCCTCACTGCCACCTGGCAGGATCTTGCATCTCAGAGCAGCACTCCCCCGGCCCCTTGCTCAAAAAGCCGTTGAAAATCACATCACCATAAGAGACCATCAAGCTTGTCTTCTTGCTATAGTAATGAGAAAGTCAAGGCTCAGACCAAGGCTTGCTAAGGTCACCCACCTTAGGTTTGGATCTCCCAGAAGCCAACCCTGAGATTTGACTGCAAGGAGTATATTAGGGCAGGTTGAATGGTGTCCCCCATCCCTAAAAGATGTGTCCATATGCAAATCCTTGGAAGCTGCTAATGCTCTCTCATTTGGAAAGAGGATGTTTGCAGATGTTAATAAGGATATTGAGATCATTCTGGATCATCTGGGTGGGTCCTAAGTCCAGTGATAAGTGTCCTTATAAGAGACAAAGGAGAAGACACAGAGGATAAGGGTGCATGAAGGCAGAGGTGGAGACTGGAGTGCTGCAGCCACAGATAAGAGATGCCAGGGATGGCCAGCAGTGACAGAAGCTGGGAGAGAGAAGAAACAGATTCTCCTGAGAGCCTCTGGGGAGAAGCTGGCCCTGCCAACACATTGAGTCCAGGTGTCCAACCCCAGAAGAGTGAAAGAATACCTTCCTTGAGAGATGATCCAAGATGGCTGAATAGGAACAGCTCTGGAGTGCAGTTTCCAGCAAGACCACAGAGGCCACTGCCGGTGATCCCCAGGCAAGCAGGGTTTGGAGTGGACCTCCAGCAGTCCTACAGAAATGGGGCTTGTTAGAAGGAAAACTAAAAAACAGAAAGAAATAACTTCATCATCAACCAAAAGGACGTCCACTCAGAGACCCCATCCAAAAGTCGCCAACTACAAAGACCACAGGTAGATATACCTACAAAGGTGGGAAGAAACCAGCACAAAAAGGAAGAAAACATCAAAAACCAGAATGCCTTTCCTACCCCAAGGGATCACAACTCCTCATCAGCAAGATAACTAGGCTGGATGGAGAATGAGTCTGATGAATTGACAGAAACTGGCTTCAGAAAGTGGATAATAACAAGCTTCTCTGAGCTAAAAGAACATGTTCTAACCCAATGCAAAGAAACTAAGAACACTGGAAAAAGGTTTGACGAAATGCTAATGAGAATAAGCAGCTTAGAGAAGAATAGAGATGACTTGATAGAGCTGAAAAACACAACATGAGAACTTCATGAAGCACATACAAGTTTCAATAGCCAAACTGACCAAGCAGAAGAAAGGATATCAGAGATCGAAGATCAACTCAATGAAATAAAATGAGAAGGCAAGATTAGAGAAAAAAGAGTAAAAAGAAATGAACAAAGCCTCCAAGAAATGTGGAATTATGTGAAAAGACTTAATCTACATTTGATAGGTGTACCTGAATGTGATAGAGAGAATGAATCCAAGTTGGAAAACACTCATCAGGATATTATCCAGGAGAACTTCCCCAATCTAGCAAGGCAGGCCAATATTCAAGTCCAGGAAATACAGAGAACACCACAAAGATATTACTCAAGAAGAGCAACCCCAAGGCACATAGTCATCAGATTCACCAGGGTTGAAATGAAGGAGAAAATGCTAAGGGAAGCCAGAGAGAAAGGTCGGGTTACCCACAAAGGGAAGCCCATCAGACTCACAGCAGATCTCTCAGCAGAAACCCTACAAGCCAGAAGAGAGTGGGGGGGCCAATATTTAACATCCTTAGAGAAAAGAGCTTTCAACCTAGAATTTCATATCCAGCCAAACTAAGCTTCATAAACAAAGGAGAAATAAAATCCTTTATGAACAAGCGATTGCTCAGAGACTTCATCACCATCAGGCCTGCCTTACAAGAGTCCTGAAAGAAGCACTAAACATAGAAAGGAACAACCAATACCAGCCACTCCCAAAATGTACCAAATGGTAAAAAGCATTGACACAATGAAGAAACTGCGTCAACTAATGGGCAAAACAATCAGCTAGCATCAAAATGGCAGGGTCAAATTCACACACAAAAATATTAACCTTAAATGTAAATGGGCTACATGCCCCAATCAAAAGACACAGACTGGCAAATTGGATAAAAAGTCAAAACCCATCAGTATGCCATATCCAGGAAACCATCTCACATGCAAGGACATACAAAGGCTCAAAATAAAAGGATGGAGGAAGATTTACCAAGCAAATGGAGAGCAGCAAAAATAAAAGCAGGAGTTGCAATCCTAGTCTCTGATAAAATAGACTTTAAACCAACAAAGATCAAAAGGGACAAAGAAGGGCATTACATAATGGTAAAGGGATCAATGCAACAAGAAGATCTAACAATCCTATATACACACCCAATACAGGAGCACCCAGATACATAAAGCAAGCTCTTAATGACTTACAAAGAGACTTAGGCTCCCACACAATAATAGTGGGAGACTTTAACATTCCACAATCAATATTAGACAGATCAACAAGACAGAAAATTAACAGGGATATCCAGGACTTGAACTCATCTCTGGACCAAGCAAACCTAATGGACATTTACAGAACTCTCCACCACAAATACACAGAATATACATTCTTCTCAGCACCACATCACACCTACTCTAAAATTGACCACATAATTGGAAGTAAATCACTCCTCAGCAAATGCAAAAGAACAGAAATCATAACAAACAGTCTCTCAGACCACCGTGCAATCAAATTAGAACTCAGGATTAAGAAACTAACTCAGAACTGCACAACTTCATGAAAACTGAACAGCTGGCTCTAGAGTGTTGACTGGATAAATGATGAAATGAACACAGAGATAAAGATGTTCTTTGAAACCAATGAGAAAGAAGATACAACGTACAGGATCTCTGGGACACATTTAAAGCAGTGTCTAGAAGGAAATTTATAGTAATAAATGCCCACATGAGAAGAAGGAAAGATCTAAAATTGACACCCTAACATCAAAATTGAAAGAGCTAGAAGAGCAAGATCAAAAAAACTCAAAAGCTAGCAGAAGACAAGAAATAACTAAGATCAGAGCAGAACTGAAGGAGATAGAGACACAAAGAACCCTTCAAAAAACTAATAAATCCAGGAGCTGTTTTTTTGAAAAGATCAACAAAATAGACCCCTAGCCAGATTTAAAAAAAAAAGAAAAGAGAGAAGAATCAAATCGATGCAATAAAAAACAATAAAGGGGATATCACCAAAGATTCCACAGAAACACAAACTACCATCAGAGATTACTACAAACAACTCTATGCACATAAACTAGTAAACCTGGAAAAAATAGATAAATTCCTGGACACTTGCATCCTCCCAAGCCTAAACCAGGAAGAAGTCGAAACCCTGAATAGACCAATAACAAGGGCTGAAGTTGAGCCAGCAATTAAAAGTCTACCACACAAAAAAAGCCCAGGTCCAGAAGGGTTCACAGCTGAATTCTACAACATACAAAGAGGAGCTGGTACCATTCCTTCTGAAACTATTCTAAACAATCCAAAAAGAGGGAATACTGTCCAGATCATTTTATGAGACCAACATCATCCTTATACCAAAACCCGGAAGATTCTCAACAAGAAAAGAAAACTTCAGGCCAATATTCATGATGAATATAGATGCAAAAATCTTCAATAAAATCCTGGCATACCAATTGCAACAGCACATCAAAAAGCTTATCCATCATGATCAAGTAGGCTTCATCCCGGGGATGCAAGGCTAGTTCAACATACACAAGTCTATGAATGTAATTCACCACATAAACAGAACCAAAGACAAAAACCACATGATTATCTCAATAGATGCAGAGAAGGCCTCTGACAAAATTCAACCAGCCATTTATGCTAAAAACTCTCAATAAACTAGGCATTGATGGAATGTATCTCAAAATAATAAAAGCTGTTTATGACAAACCCACAGCCAATATCATACTAAATGGGAGCATTCCCTTTGAAATCTGGCTCTAGACAAGGATGCCCTCCCTCACCACTCCTATTCAATATAGTATTGGAAGTTCTAGTCAGAGCAATCAGGCAAGAAAAAATAAAAAATGAAAGGTATTCAATTAGGAAAGGAAGAAGTCAAATTGTCTCTATTTGCAGACAACATGATTGTATATTTAGAAGACCCCATAGTCTCAGACCAAAATCTCCAGAAACAGATAAGCAATGTCAGCAAAGTCTCAGGATACAAAATCAATGTGCAGAAATCACAAGCATTCCTATATACTAATAACAGACTTAAGGAGAGCCAAATGAAGAAGGAACTGCCATTCACAATTGCTACAAAGAGAATAAAATACCTAGGAATACAACTAACAAAGGACGTAAAGGACCTCTTCAAGGAGGACTACAAACCACTGCTCAAGGAAATAAAAGAGGACACAAACAGATGGAAAAACATTCCATGCTTATGGAAGAATCAGCCTTGTGAAAATGGCCATACTTCCCAAAGTAATTTATAGATTCACTGCTATCCCCATCAAGCTACCTATGACCCTCTTCACAGAACTGGAAAAAACCACCTTAAACTTCATATGGATTGAGACCATTCTGGTCAACATGGTGAAACCCCCTCTCTACTAAAAATACAAAAGATTAGCTGGGCACAGTGGCGCGTGCCTGTAATCCCAGCTACTCAGGAGGCTGAGGCAGGAGAATTGCCTGAAGCCAGGAGGTGGAGGTTGCGGTGAGCCGAGA